TGCCCTCATTATACCATACAAACTATACCAACTGCCCTCATTATACCATTACAAACTATACCAACTATACCAACTGTCCCTCATTATACCATTACATAATACCAACTATACCATTACTGCCCTCATTATACCATTACAAACTATACCAACTGTCCTCATTATACCATTACATACTATACCAACTGCCTCATTATACCATTACAAACTATACCAACTGCCCTCATTATACCATTACAAACTATACCAACTGCCCTCATTATACCATTACATACTATACCAACTGCCCTCATTATACCATTACAAACTATACCAACTGTCCTCATTATACCATTACAAACTATACCAACTGCCCTCATTATACCATTACAAACTATACCAACTGCCCTCATTATACCATTACAAACTATACCAACTGCCCTCATTATACCATTACAAACTATACCAACTGCCCTCATTATACCATTACAAACTATACCAACTGCCCTCATTATACCATTACATACTATACCAACTGCCCTCATTATACCATTACAAACTATACCAACTGCCCTCATTATACCATTACAAACTATACCAACTGCCCTCATTATACCATTACATACTATACCAACTGCCCTCATTATACCATTACATACTATACCAACTGCCCTCATTATACCATTACATACTATACCAACTGCCCTCATTATACCATTACATACTATACCAACTGCCCTCATTATACCATTACATACTATACCAACTGCCCTCATTATACCATTACAAACTATACCAACTGCCCTCATTATACCATTACAAACTATACCAACTGCCCTCATTATACCATTACAAACTATACCAACTGCCCTCATTATACCATTACATACTATACCAACTGCCCTCATTATACCATTACAATCTATACCAACTGTCCTCATTATACCATTACATACTATACCAACTGCCCTCATTATACCATTACATACTATACCAACTGCCCTCGTGTGACTTGCCCTGTAAGGTACGCGTGTTGTGACAGGGGCAGCCATCCACACCTGTGTAAATCTAACAATATTTCATCATAATATGATTGTTATTTTCTCCTCTGCTATAAACATTTTGTTTCCTTTAACTAATGGAAATTCCCTGCTGCGTATAAATAATATTTATTTTCCCATCCAGCCGGGCATGTTTGGTTTATTAGTATAACCGATTAATCAGAAACAGAAATTATTAGCATTCACCATTTTCCTACCTGCTTCTTGTTGTTTCTTAAAACATTTTCTATAAATTCCAGCAGCTGTTTTTTCCCCAATTGATTCTCCATGGGAGCGTTCCTGGAATAAATGACCACTTGCTCTGTGAACAATGCTTCTAACAAACATGTCATTATGATGTCACAGGATACTGGTGACCTCACATGGCTGCAATGCTCGTTGTGATGTCACCTGATCCTGGTGTTCTATCACCGGGCTGATTTCTACATTGTCAATTGTTGGAGATTGTCATGGGTATTTAACATTTAGCCAAAAATAACCAATTCTCCAACTTTTCCATCTAAGCTTAGCCTAAAACCTGTCATTCTTGACAATTCACAGTTCAGGGAAAAGGTAGGAATTTCATGTAAATTGTTCATTCTGGTCAAGGTCCCTGCCTCATTATAAATAGAACAGACATGCCCAATGGTATCTAGGGAAGAGTTGAAAGAGGTACATTAATAAAATATATCAAACATGTAACGTGAAAGAGTCACTCCAAATGCTGTATGAGTGTGTTTTTGATGTGTAGTCAGCTAATTTATAATGAGTTCATCTGGCAAAACATATGCTTTGCTGAAAGAGCATGTTAACATTTAAAGGAATGGTGTACCGTTAAAAATACATATATTTATTTCTTAGAATGTTCCTTTTTTAGTTTAAATTACTGGGCTTCCTCGTGGGACCCTAGGATGAAAACAAAAACTGAAGAAATCTAGAAGGCTTACCTGTAATCCAGCACTGGGACAGTCTCCTCGCTGTAGGCCAATCCACCCACGGCGAGGTCATCAATTGGACTGATGATCTCTAGTCCAATCACAATGTTCTTGAAACTTTGAGGACTTATAGGGCATGTGCTTCAATCACAACGCACCACCAATCCAGCGCTCTTTGTAAAGATAAATTGAATCAAATGCTTTTGAGAAGAAAAATTAATATTCAATGTCATTGTACTCTGCAAACGTTAAGACCTTCAAACTTTAAAAGTCTTAAGAAGGAAAAGCCTCCATTTCCTGTCCAAGAGTCACTAAGCACTAACAAAACATGTTTTTGGGAGCTTATGGTGTCTGTTTCAATTGTCTAAGAATATAAAACAATGAAGTGAATAGAATAGTTTTAGAAGAATCCTTGATAATATGACGTCACTTTATGAAAAGTAATATATGCATACGGATGGACTCTCGACTTAACAATTTTTACCCTTTGTTTCATTTTAGCCCACTCCCATTCTAGCATGTAAGCTCATTGAGCAGGGCCCTCAACCCATCTGTTCCTGTACATCCACTTGTCTGGTTACAATTACGTGTCTGTTGGTCCACCCATTGTACAGCACTACGGAATTTGATGGCGCTATATAAATAACAATAACAATAGTGCATAATGTCAAGAAGCAGCTCCATAAGGCATGGTGATGTTATGTCACCTAGAACGTGATGTAGAAATTGAGTTTTAAACAAGCCCTAACCATTGATGTTGGTCTAAAGAGAACACTAGAGAATGTTATCTTTAGACAATAACACAGGAAGAATTGTTCTTGAAAAATTAATACCTGCTGGCTATACAGAAATACTCTTTTACCAGCTCCTCTCCCAGCATATCATTACTGCAAACAGCAGCTTCTGTCCAGGAGTTTAACTCACACAATCCATTGAAACGAGCTTTGGTAGTTATGGTGCTCTAGATTCACCATTTAGGCTCTTTTCAATAATGTTACAATTCTGTCTTGAGCTGTTGTACACGGTCATTTATATTCTTGCAGAATTCGTATTATATGTAGGCAGAAACAATCAGACTACTTTATGGCTGCAGCGATCTGACCTTCAGATTCAGTGTAGTGTTAATTGTGCGGATAATGTGCCCTGAATACATCCTTTATTAGCCCCGACAGGTGAAATTTTCCTGGCTTTGTACGTTTCCGTAATGTGCTTAATATTAAGAAAAGTCTTTGCAGCAAATTGCAATAAATTATATACATTTTTTTTTTTGTATTTGAACGTCTCTTTTAGTGTTACAAATGGATACACTGTTAAAATCTAAAGTTGGATGTTACAGTATAAATATAATAATTAGAATTTTTAAATTAGCCATCATCTCACTGCCTTTCAATACCAAGAACACGTAATTGCATGTGGTATTGGAGAGTGCTTAAATATACATTCTGTGCATTGTATTACATTCTAGCAGTCAGGGGTTGGGCTGTGTCCATATTCATTACTGAAATGTTTGCAAGTGGAGAGTTTTTCTTTATCAGAGAAAATTGGAAATTACACAAAGCTGACAGGGTCTGTGAATTACATGTTTGCATGTGTCTCTTCGGCACTGCTGTGTGTAAGTATGGCGGACGCTGAGAGGGCATGCTGCTAAAAAAAGAAAACTCTACATGTAAAAAGCTTAAAATCGCGAGCAATCCTGTTTTAAAGCATTAAAAGGACCTTCAGTAGAAATTGTTTTAATGAGGGAAGATCTCTTAAATTACTTTCTAGAGAACGGTGGATCCAGTCCTAACCTCGCATATAGAACCAGAGAGGATTGTGCCAAATAGAAGGCTAAATTTATTTTCTAAATACATAAAAATGCAAATTTTACATCAATACATTTTATATGGCAAAATTCTTCCAACTCTGTTATAGTCTCAGTCTGGATATTTTTTGCATTAACGTTGCAAACTAGTTTTTAATTCTGCTACGACTTGACAGCGAATAATCCCAATTGTTTTTAGCAGATTTGACATTATGCCCCCATATTCAGATCTCCAGAAAGCATGTGGCATAGTGTCCAATTTTTCTAAAATCATTGTTGTGAGTTTGATTTATAAATTTGTGCTTTAAATTCTAGCTCAACATGTGACGTTAATTCTCTGTGTTTGGGGTTAGCAAGTTTAAAATTAAGTAAAAATTGGGAATAATTTAGTGTGAACAGTATTTGAAGAAGGATTTGCTTATCACCAGTAAGTGGATGGAGGCTCTAGATGCTGATAATCCATCTTAAAAAGTCACAAAACATTAAAATATGGAGACACCAGGAGTGTTTAGCTTCTATATTTAAAGGACAACTATAGTCAGGGCCGGATTAAGAGCCCGGTGGGCCTGGTGCTGACAAATATGATGGGCCTAATTAGGGAATCTTATCGACCAAAAACACTAAACCAGTCATACCTCCCAAGCATCATGTATCTGATGGAGATGGTGCTGGAGGGAAACTCAAAGGATGCAGCTATAAGAAAACACATACTCTATGCTAATCTCTTTCTAATTTATGCTTTCATCCTTCAAATCAATCCATACCCCCTAACAGCAGTGTCCAGTGAAGTAGGAAGTCAATGGGCAGGGTAAAAGAGTGTGCCACTGGCGCGAATCACATGACCAGACCTGCCAAAAGGGGAGAACATGCTCAAAAAGAGGGCATGTCTGTCCAAAGAATTTGAAGGACAACCTGGCATGAATGCATGTCAGGCTGCCCGCCAATCCTGCATGCTCTCCAACTAAGGGCATACTATGCAGGCAGCACCATGAGCTTGACATAAATGCCTCTCATGATGCGCTCACTCCATTCTTTCTAAGGACTGTCCCCTAGCACTCGCTGGTCCACTTGTCTCCTTACCTTCTTATTAGCAGGCAGAAGTTCCTGGTATATAGTCTGAGACAGAGAAAAGGTGTATGTAGTGAGTGTAGAAGAAAGGGGACATGCCACAGTTTTAGAGAGATCAGCGTCTGCATTACCTAAACTAATTTTATTGTCAGCTAGTCCACACAGTTTTGTTCCCATACATCCCTCTTAAGCTTCCAAACTTAAAGGGACACTATAGTCACCAGAACAACTACAGCTTATTGTATTTGTTCTGGTAAGTAGAATCATTCCATTTAGGCCTTTTGCAGTAAACACTGTCTTTTCAGAGAAAATAACTCCACTGGCCACTCCTTAGATGGCTGCTAGAGGTACTTCCTGGGGCAGTACTGCCTAGTGTGCAGCACTGCCATTCAGTGTCTCCACCCTCTGCATGCAGACACTGAACTTTCCTCATAGAGATGCATTGATTCAATTTATCTTTATGAGGAGATGCTGATTGGCCAGGGCTATGTTGGACTTGTGCTGGCTCTGCCCCTGATCTGCCTAGTTGACAGTCTCAGCCAATCCTATGGGGAAGTTTTGTAATTTGCTCAGACCACCACTTCTGATCATGTCAGCAGACAGTCAATTCAGAGGCAGAGCCAGCAGCTGCAGACTTGAATACAAGTTATATTTTACTATACTTAGGGAGGCAAGAAGGGGCCAGGGTGGTGGTTTTAGCATAATAGGGTCAGAAATACATGAATGTGTTCCTGACCCTATAGTGCTCCTTTAAGCAAGAGTATGTGAAGATTAGTTAGGGTTGCCACCTTTCTTGGAAAAAATACCAGCCTTAATCATTTGTATAATCACAAAGAGTGACATCAGAGAAAATTCTGTAAAATCACCAACAAACTACTCACAGTTTGATTCTGCTGTATAGATGGATTGCTCCCAGTTTCTCAGTCTCGCAAGTCACCCAGTGTCTCAGTGTCCCTATGTATCACAGTGTCAGTGTCCACATGTCGCCCAGTCTCCCTGTCTCCCAGTGTCCTCATTTCTCCCAGTGTCCCAATGTCTCAGTGTGTCCCCATGTCACTAGGATACTGGGGACACAGTGAGACATGGGGACACTGAGAGTTTGGGAGACTATGGGACTGGGCGACATGAGGACACTGGCACTGTGATACATAGGGACACTGAGACACTGGGTGACTTGCGAGACTGAGACACTGGGAGCAATCCATCGATACAGCAGAATCAAACTGTGAGCAGTTTGTTGGTGATTTTACAGAGAGACCCGGGGACACGGAGACATAGGGACACTGCGAGACATGGGGACACTGAAACATTTAGGGAAACTGGGAGAAATGGGGACACTGAGACACTAGCAGACACGGGGACACTGAAAATTTGGGGACACTAAGACACTAGGGACACAGAGACATGGGAACACAGACACTGGGAGACAGGGGGACACTGGCTGGGAGACAGAAACTTGGGGACACTGGGAGACATGGGGACAGTTGTGGACATAGACATGGGGACACTGGGACATATAGGGACACTGGGAGACATGGGGACACTAGGCACACTGAGACACTAGGAACAAAGACACTGGGAGACATGGGGACACTGAAACATTTAGGGGACACTAAGACACTAGGGACACAGAGACATGGGGACACTGGGAGACTTGGGGACAGTAGTGGACATAGACATGGGGACATATAGGGACACTAGGCACATTGAGAGACATGGAACACAGACACTGGGAGAAATGGGGACATAGTGACTCCGTGTCCCAATGTCTCAGTGTCTCCCAATGTCCCTATGTCTCACAGCATCCCCATGTGTCTCAGCATCCCCATGTATCCCAGTATCCCCTAGTGTCTCAGAGTCCTCATGTTTTCCAGTGTCCACAAGTGTCTCAGTGTTTCCAGGTCTTCCAGTGTCTGTGCCCCCATGTGTCCTAGTGTCTCAGTGTCCCCTAGTGTCTGTGTCCCCATGTGTCCCCTAGTGTCTGTGTCCCCTAGTGTCTCAGTGTCCCCATATGTCCCCTAGTGTCTCAGTGTCCCCTAGTGTCTCAGTGTCCCCATATGTCCCCTAGTGTCTCAGTGTCCCCTAGTGTCTCAGTGTCCACATGTGTCCCCTAGTGTCTCAGTGTCCCCATGTGTCCCTGCTGCCTTTCCCCCCATCCCTCACCTGAGCTGTAGAGCTGCTATCTGGACTCTGTGCTGTGTTGCTGCTCCCCCACGGATCAGTAAGTAGTAGAGAGAGGCAGGGATATGCTGTAACTTCCTATTCCTGCTTTTCTCCACACACAGTGACCCCTACTGGCTGGTGCTGGTATTGCAGAGTAATCTCCATTTATTCTGAGAAAAATACCTGCATTTGTATTGCCGGTATTACTGTGATACCGAAATGGGCCTATTCCATGGGCCTGGGCCTGGAGCTGCAGCTCCATCAGCCCCTATGTTAATCCGGTCCTGACTATAGTGCCCTGAGGTTGCCCCCACCCTCAGGGTCCCCCTCCCGCCCGGCTCAGGGGAGAGGAAAAGGGGTTAAACTTACCTTTTTTCCAGCGCCGGGCGGGGAGCTCTCCTCCTCCTCTCCGCCTCCGATCCTCCCCTTCGGCTGAATGCGCACGCGCGGCAGGAGCTGCGCGTGCATTCAGCCGGTCTCATAGGAAAGCATTTATAATGGTTTCCTATGGACACTTGTGTGTTCTCACTGTGATTTTCACAGTGAGAAGCACGCAAACGCCTCTAGCGGCTGTCAATGAGACAGCCACTAGAGGAATTGGAGGAAGGATTAACCCATTTACAAACATAGCAGTTTCTCTGAATCTGCTATGTTTATAAAACAATGGGTTAACCCTAGCTGGACCTGGCACCCAGACCACTTCATTAAGCTGAAGTGGTCTGGGTGCCTAGAGTGGTCCTTTAAGCTGAAGTGGTCTGGGTGCCTATAGTGGTCCTTTAATGAAGGTGAAGGTTTTGAAGTGCAAGTATGTGCAGTAGACAGGGGACACAGAAGCAGCAATAATGGAGGTCAGTTAGAGTCAAATACAAAACACTAAGAGCTAAATGTGTTTGGGCCATAAGAAGCACTTAATCATAGGCAACAACCAGCATTCAAGTTGGTAGCCAGTCATGGAATATGGGAATCCAGGAGGAAAACATATTTGGGTCCTCTTATATATTCTTTAAATATAGTTCCCTCTCCCTGTTTCAGCTACACAATGAATTTAAATAATATATAATACTACCTCTCTTGCCCAGGCCCGGATTAAGAGCCCATTGGGCCTGGTGCTGACAATTATGATGGGCCTAATTACAGAATCTTATCTACAGAAAACACTAAAACAGTTATACCTCCCAAGCATCATGTATCTGGCGGAGATAGTGCTGCAGGGAAACTCACAGGATATAACTATCAGAAAACATACCCAATGCTAATCTCTTGCTTTCATCCTTCAAGTGAATCCATACCCCCTAACAGCAGTCAGTGTTTGGTGAAGCAGGATTTTGGTGGGCGGGGTAAAAGAGTGAGCCACTGATGTGAATCACGAAACCAGGACAGCCCAAAAAGGGAGCATGTCTGCACGAAGAATTAGAAGGCCAGCCTGGCATGAATGCACGTCAAGCTTCCTGCCAATCATACAGGATGACCAACCAAGGGCTACTATGCAGACAGCACCCCGAGCTTGGCATTAATACGTCTAATGATGCACTCACTCCACGCTTTCTAAGCACTCACTGGTCCACTCCTCTCCTAACCTTCTTACTAGCAGGCAGAAGCTTTAACAGTGTAGCAGAGATATCCTCTCTTTCTTTTAAAGAAATGGAGATCTGGGTCCTGCCGTATTTACTAAACATGGAACAATGACAGTAACTGAACGAATGATAAAGCTGAGCTGGATATTTTCTGGCAGTTTGGTTAGTTTTGAAGAATTGTGGTTTCCCTGACCATTCCCCACAATGTCAACATACATGTAATCAAGCTTCCCCTGAATTAAAGCTAATAATGTTTTAAAAGCACAGGAGGATATACTAAATGTCCCTGGAACCATCTGTTTTTGCAACATATCTTGCCTAAATAAAAATACGTATTTTTCAGAAGCAGCTCTGTGACTGACATATTGAAATTGTCTTGCTTTTAAAAGAGGGGCTCACCACTCAATTCTATTCCTCGGTTTCCTTCCAACATTTGTAAAGCAAAACGTTCAAGCACCAAACCCCAAAATCAAACGAGGCAGACTCGCTGCAAGTTCTAATTCAGAGCAGATTGATAGGACGTTAATGGCGTGCTGACATCCATCTTTTTCAGATGGTAAAAGAAATGACAAGAACGCATCACAAGGCCCTTGATAGAAGGAAACAAACCGATTAAATAGCAAATTTCTCAAGCCACTGAAGTACTTGATAGAATTTCTTCAAAAGGGAAAAATAAGACTTGATTTTCATACATTTCACGTCCACTTTACCGCTCTTCTACAAAGAAGTTAGCAGAAGATTGAAGACATATTTAACAGAGTGTCAACGAAAACGATTATTGAAAACTTTTTGCTTGGATTCGTCACAGTGTCTGGGGTGATCCATTTGTCTATTGGAAAAAGAAGCTTGCCTCATTACAAATCACAATACATTTATTTGACCAGCCTCAAATCCTTCCCAGACAATCACAGGTCTATAGTGTCTGGGTTCTTACCCGAGATGGGAGTCTGTAGCGCAGATATGTTTGCTCACCCTTGCAGATAGACACAGTCCAAGGTAACCTGATATGAAGCCACCTGGACTGTGAATCTGTGCACAGGGGCTGTGGCAGAAAGGTGGGATTTGGATAGATTGAGGGACTGGGCACTAAAATGCCAGATGAAATTTAACGTAGAGAAATGCAAAGTTATGCACTTCGAGGTCAAAAATGCACAAGCAACTTACACCCTAAATGGTAGTAAATTAGGGATAACCACACATGAGAAGGATTTTGGGAACTGTTATAGACAACAAATTAGGCAGCAATATGCAATGTCAATCTGCAGTTGCTAAGGCCAGTAAGGTATGTCATGTATAAATAGGGGCATAAATTCTCGGGATGAAAATATAATTTTGCCTCTTTTTAAATTGCTGGTAAGACCACACCTTGAATATGCTGTGCAATTTTGGGCACCTGTTCTAAAGAAGGATATCATGGCACTAGAAAAAGTGCCTAGACGTGCTACAAAATTGATAAAAGGAATGGAGCATTTTAGTTACAAAGAAAGGTTAAAAAATTTAAATCTCTTTTAGTTTTGGAAAAACGGCGCCTCAGAGGGGATATGATAACTTTATATAAACATATCTGGTGCCAGTACAAACCATTATCTGGAAATCTATTCATAAACAAGGCTATACATAGGACACGAGGTCACACATTTAGACTGGAAGAAAGGAGATTTCATCTAAGGCAAAGAAA